TTGGAAGAATACCTCCATTTAGATCACATGGAGGAAGTAAGCCCGTGCGAAAAAATCATCAATGGCAAATACTACTAATTTTACTTGCCACATCATGCAGTAGTAAAGCCAGATAAAAAAAAACTCGGGGAATTCCCTAAACGATATCTTATTTACGGGACCAACGCTCCAACCTGATTTAGTGCTGCTTATTCTAAACTGGCGTATATTCAAATACGTATACAACGGGGACGTCGAAAMRATGTATAGACAAATAGTCGTACATAAAGACGATCAAGATTTTCAGCGAATTATTTTCCGAAAATCCCCCAATAGTCCACTACGCGACTTCAAGCTAAAAACAGTGACTTTTGGCGTTAACTGTGCTCCATACCTAGCCATTCGAACACTCCTTGAATTGGCTATCAACACCAAGTCAGAATTTCCTCTGGCAACCAAGGTGTTGAAAACACATATGTATGTAGACGATATTCTGTCTGGAAGCCACAGTCTTCCAGAAGCATACGAATCATTATCACAGGTATCCAAGCCCTCAAATCCACAGGGTTTCCATTAAAAAGATTACAGCAAAATACCCAAATATATTAAAAAGTATACCAAAAGAAATTTGTTGGACACTAATTTCCTTATATTCGAAGAGGATAGTACTACAAAACCTCTGGGCATCCAATGGAATGCGATATCGGACAATTTTTCATATACGACTGAGTCCATATCCGCATTATCCGCCATTACAAAACGCCAAATTCTCTCCTCTGTGGCAAAACTTTTTGAACCCGCAGGATGGTTATCGCCAATTATGATACAAGCCAAAATCCTGATACAAGAATTATGGCTAGATGGTACCGACTGGGACGAGCAAGTAAAACCACTTCATTTAGAAAAGTGGTCCCAGTTCGCTAGCAATCTGAATATGGCAAAAAATAAATTATATCTCTGGTCCGATTCCGAGATTGTATTAGCCTGGTTGGAAAAACCACCACATGCATGGAAAACGTACATATATTTCCAATCGAACGTCTCAAATACTTGATCTAGTAGGATCAGCCACTTGGCGACACGTAGCCAGTGCTGACAATCCTGCCGATCTTGGGACAAGAGGGTGCAACCCCTTCATCTCGCCACCACCACCCTCTGGTGGAATGGCCCCCGATGGCTAATAGAATCTCCCGACTCTTGGCCACAAAAGCCAATGCGCAACATAATATCCCCAGAAAGTCGAAAAATCTCCACTTATCACACAACAATAGATGATGCTGATATCCCTGAACGATTTTCATCGTTCCCCCGAGCACTCAGAGTAGTCGCTTATATTCTCAAATTCGCAGAGCGACTCAAACTTAAGGCAAAGGGAGCAACTTGCCCCCAATGCGATACATTGACGCACCAAGGCTTACTAAAAGCAAAGGTCGCTCTTATCGCATCAACCCAAACGCGCTACTACAGCCGCGACCTGGGGTTACTAAGAGTATCGAAGCCAATTGACAAAAAGAGCTCACTCTTAGTACTAAACCCATTTATAGACACGAAAGGTTTGCTTCGTGCAAACGGCCGGCTTGCTAATTCCAGCCTTACGTATAATGAACGCCATCCCATAATAATACCTGAGAAATCCTCATTTGCCACATTATTCATCAGTTATATCCATATAGTCATGTTACACGCCGAAAATCGCCTCATGCAACATACGGTACGCCAAGAGTACTATGTTCCCCGCCTTAAGCCCCAAATCAAGAAGTGCATTTTCATGTGCAAGGTCTGCACGATGCACAAGCAGAAAAYGAGAACGCAGATTATGGCAGCACTTCCACCGGAACGCTGCAACTTCGCTCTGCCTTTCACCACCACAGGTGTCGACTTTGCTGGGCCTTTTCAAATAAAGGCGTCCATGCTAAGGTCTCCCACCCTCATGAAGGGCTATGTGGCTGTCTTTGTCTGTTTTACGACAAAAGCAGTACACCTTGAGCTCTGTACCGATCTGACAAAGGAGGCTTTCCTCGCTATATTTGCTCGCTTCGCCGGACGACGTGGCTTTCCATCCAAAATCATGAGCGATAATGGTAAAACGTTTATAGGGGCTCAGAGAGCCACAGAAAAACAGTTTGTTGATTTCATCAAGCAAGTTTCCCCTGAGATCGTACAAAAGTACGCTCACCAAGGTATTAATTGGCAATTTATTCCCCCAAGCGCGCCTCATATGGGTGGTTTATGGGAATCCGCAGTAAAAAGTTTCAAATCCCAGTTTAAAAAAGTAGTTGGAATCTACAAATAATTACGAGGAATTCACAACATTACTAATTCGCATTGAAGCCGTACTCAATTCACGGCCACTAACAACGCTCTCGCAAGACCCCTCGGATCTTACAGCCCTAACCCCAGGAGCACCCACTCTGGCTACACCTGAGCCAGGCGTGGAGTCACTGTCCCTACTAAATCGATGGGAATGAATTAAAATTCTCCATCATAATTTCAGTCGCCGATGGAAAGAAGACTATTTAAAAGACCTCCACAAGAGATATCTATGGAAAACATCAGAAAATGTGCCTAAGCTTGGAGATTGTGTCCTAATTAACGACGATTGTCTCCCTCCGACCGAATGGCGGCTGGGCCGCATAGAAAAGCTTTACTATGGCTCCGACGGTCATATTCGAGTAGTCGATCTCCGTACGCAAACCGGAACGTTAACTAGACCACTTGTAAAACTATGTTTTTTTACCAACTACCGRTAATGACGAAACGGTGTCAAAACTCGTTAAAACAACCGCCGAAATAAACGATAATCAAACAATATAACTTAATTAGTTAAAAGYTCGTCCAAAATGACGGCCCCTTCGTGCCACATATTGTGGAACAAACTATGAATGATAAATCTATAAACATTTACTCTTTTTCCACACAGGGTATTATGGATGCTGATAGGCCAGTTACACCAACGCCAACTATACGTTCGGCTCTCACTGTATCGCGCACTGGGGCTGTCCCCGTAGCGGCGCCCCGTACAAACACTGTAACCACTGCGCCAACCGTTGCACGAACTGTGACCCGACAAACAACGACCGCGGCTTCGCAGCCGCCCCGAACCCGATGCCCGCTTTGTTGCCGCCCACACCGATTGCAGCACTGCTCTATTTTTAAGGGGATGACTCCCAATCAGCGTCAGCAGGTGGCTCAGGCACATGGACACTGCTTGAATTGTCTGGCTCAAACCCATGTTACACAGGAGTGCGTGTCTGACACCATGTGCCAGCAMTGTGAGCGGTCACATCATACACTACTGCACCGTCATCCTAGACGCGCTGTCGCCCATTCATCTGCTCCCCGTAACCGCGATTTAGTCCGACAGGCGCAGCCAAGTAGTACAGCATGGACCCGTCAAAGAAATGTCCTCGCAGCACCTCGGGGATGGCGTCCACATAACGACACTTCGATGCGGCGCCAATCATCCAGGCCTCAACCTCGCCGCACGACAGGCCTCAGCAACGTGGTCGCCACCTTGCAGCAGCTACAGCGTCTCCTAGGCTAAATATTCGCCTAGGGGGGCCGGGATGGCCAAATGAGCCTCAGCGTACTACATCAGCATACAACCCTACATAGAGGCGCAACACCGACACACCGCATTCATCATTTAACCACACACGTTCCACAACATTTCCCCACACAACATCCACAATGTCCCCGCTACAGCAGATCTAGCAGCTGACTGACACCCCACACCAAAACGTTAAAAAAGGAATAACGGGTAGCGGACCGGCCTCTTTTTTTCGACGTCACGCTCAAGGAATCACATCTTTTTTTGCCATACTGATCTTTTTTCCGATCTTTATTAAATTGTGTTTTATTTTCAAAAAAAACCTGCTTTTCCCATTTTTCTAATAAAATACCTTCGTCAGAAAATTCAATTCAATTAGTTATATTTATGAGGAAAAGTAACAGCCTTGAAGAAATAATTATCTAATGAGCACTAAAATACATACCTGGAACTTTGTCACTCAACATATTCAAACAAAGTCTAGTTGAGTTGTTTAGACATCGATCTAATATATTGACACTTGTTGGAAAATAGCCTAAATCAGCAATTGTCTTTACAAATGATATTAAAGATTTTCTGTTAAGACGTTCTTTTGAGTCTGCAGAATACGGACATTGCTGTAAAAATAAGTGTTGACCATCGATAGGGTGGCACGCTAACTTTTCATTTTCAGGAGAAATTTGATTCGAGTCCAGATTATTTCCACTAATTTTATCTGATACGTTTCGCTGAAATCCATTCATGTCATCCTGAGGTATGAGTAATCGCTGCTTTTGTATGAGAAGAGATTTTTCCAACTGAATTATGTCCACATGGGATGAGAACAAAATCGAGAGATTCGTGTTGACAAAGGTTCCTGATAAGCTGCTCAGCCTATTAAAAAAAAAAATAAAATATATATATTTTTTGTAAAATGAAATTATCATAGAAATCAGGACCTTTAAGACGAGTATGCGTGTAGAGTACACGATTGTAATATTAGTAGATGTGGAAATGATGCATAGTACTGCAGAGGTAGAAAAGTTCTTGACATAACAATGAAAGAATGTGTAGAAGCATGAAACCACGGCTTTATACCTCGACGTTTGTTTTAATCCTGGCCTCCTCATTTGATTGGAATACTTTTTCATCACGCCACATTTTGAGAGAGGCTAATCATAAAGTAATTCCATCAATTTATTTATTACAAGCGTAAGTATTTATAAAAAAACATTCACGTAAAAACTTATTTCATTTTGTGGTCATTGAACGAAATTATAGTAGTTTTCGAGTTTTCTGAATTCTTTTACTTATTAGGAAATTTTTTTTTCAAAACACGAATATATTTTTTTACCCATATTATAGTTATACGTACGTAGGTTGCCTTTTTCAGAATTAGAATRCAAAGACAAGTTTTAATCATCTAAAACCTATATATTGCATGCATTTGAGGTAATTATCAAAGCAACTCTAACTGAAGTATCTCTAAAACAGTGGTCGGCATTTCATAGCAACGGGTAGGCCGTTTTCCGATGCAGTCTTTATTAAAAAATGTGTAGTAAAGTTTTGCAAAAACTTAGTTATAATCAAACATTTATTGGTAAATTGGTAAAGAAGTTTAGCGCGACTCACCGATCAAATAGGTGCTCGTATTGAATGTGAAATAAAGGAAAAAATTTAAAATTTTAAATACTTTTCGGKTTCTTTAGATGAAAGCACAGATGGCAGCTGAAAGCATGGTATAAATGTACATAATTTTCATTGCACCATATATCATGTTGCACTTTGCTCCAAATTCATAAGTAGAAATCCCGTTAAGAAAATCTCAGAGAAAATAATAAACAGAATACGTGGTGGGCATAACTCACTTACCCACAGAAAATCTGTAAAATTTTTAAAATATAAGAGTGCTGGGTACTCAGACTTAAAAATATTTACAGAAGTTTGATGGTCTAGGGGAGTGTCTCAACAGATTATTTCATTTAAGAGAAGAAGTTCTGCAGTTCCTGGAKGTTGAAGGTATAGAAAAATCTGTGGTCGGTTTTTTGAACCTTATTTATCTGTTTATTATTTGCTCCGAGATTTGAATAATTGTTTATTTATATATAGCTTTTAGTTTTATTGAATATCTTCATATATTTTTGCTCCGACGTAGTGAAAACATATTTAATTTTAAAATTTTATTGAACAATAATTTATTTTATAATTTTGCTTATAAAATTTATTTAATTTTAATTCCAATTTTTGACTGGACTACTTTTTTTTCGTGCTCRCCAACACAGTGACAGATCCTCTCATGCCGACCACTGCTCTAAAACATGCCTTTAGAACTCATCAACAGTCTCTTCAGACTGCCAGACTGCAGACCGCCACATTGGTGACCCCGACGTGATGTCAACATTGGTGACCCCGACGACCGAAATTCATGAAATATACAGACGTTAAAATCACCCGATGACCTACGCCCGGCGTACAAGCTAAAAAGCAACGTGATTTATGGACTAACTGCTACATTGGTAACACGTTGTTCCAATGTGCGCATTATAACCTCAACATTGGTGAGCCACTACCGTCAGAGAAAATCCCGATATAGGAGTTGCACGCGCATACTCGACTATATCACACCACACGGCTTGAGCAGTAGAACACTAAAGCTGTCACATCATTTTAGTACCAACCCGGTACCAAGATGACCAACATAAAGCAGTCACCATCGGAAAACAATTCCGAAGACAGGAAACATCTACAACCAGCATCTAACGTCATACGCCCTATACAGTTTAATCCTGACAAGCCATCGCTGTGGATCGCCCAAATCGAAGCACAGTTAAGGATTCTGGGAGTGGTAAGAGATCTTGACAAATTTTACCACGCGGTTTCCATCCTCGACACAAAACATGCGGCAGAAGTGGAAGACATTATTGTTGATCCTCCAACATCAGCACCTTTTACTACACTCAGAATGGCACTAATTAGCCGTTTTTCTAAATCGRAAGAAGCGAAGCTACAACAACTTCTCGAAGCTGAGGAGATTGGAGATCGTACGCCATCACAACTTCTGCGCCATCTTAAAGCACTGGTTCCAGGCGTCGACGAAGATGTACTTAAAGTTAAATGGTTGTCCGCTTTACCGAAGGACACTCGCACCATGTTAGCATTGCAGACAAATACAACGTTGGAAAATTTGGGGGCTAATGCAGACAGACTCCACGAGATTATACAAGGTATGCACGTTTCATCAGTATCGAAAAATGCTAACACTACTGGTGCAGACTTCGCACAACAAATATCAAACTTAACCAAACAGTTAGCAGCACTATCAGCCATTATTAACAAACGGGAATCCAGATCAAATACATGACAGCATAGCAAGCCGAGGACACGTAGCCAGTCCCAACAACGTAGGCTGAGCTCTAACGAGTTTTGCTACTACCACTCAAAATACGGTAAAAACGCTATTCGATGCAAAGCAGGCTGCACATTTTCGGGAAACGTTCTAGAGAGTCACTAATGACAGTGATTCTCTGAAAAATTCCCACCGTCTTTACATTAGAGATCGAACCTTTGGTACCCAATATCTGGTGAACACAGGTTCCGATTTATCGGTTTTCCCAAAAGAGTGGTCGAAAAATGCAACACTAACAGTTGGTCATACGCTACAAGCAGCAAACGGATCCATCATCCAAAYATACGGAAAACGGTTATTGACTCTTAATCTAGGTCTTCGCCGTGATTTTTTATGGCAATTCATCATCGCCGATGTCACGAAACCAATCATCGGGACTGACTTCTTGAGTCACTTTKACTTATTAGTCGACCTCAAGCGAAGATGTCTACTCGACGGACGTACTGGATTAACGTCACCCGCTTTAGTTGCTCCAATAACGAATACAATTTCTATCCGATCAATTAAAGAAGACACAATATACCACAAACTACTACGAAATGTTCCGCAGGTTACTAATCCAGACAGCGTAACAAGAGGAAAGAAGCACAACACTTTCCACCACATACGTATTTCAAGCGGACCACCAGTGACCAGCAAAGCACGTCGTTTACCACCGGATAAACTACAAGCTGCACGTCACKAGTTTGATGATATGATCAACCTGGGAATCGCTCGACCTTCGAACAATCTGTGGTCATCGTCACTGCACCTAACAGCGAAAAGCACTGCAGGATGGCGGCCATGTGGAGACTACCGCAGTCTAAATGCTCGCACAATTCCAGAAAAATACCCCGTACGCTGCCTTGAGGACTTTACCGCAACATTACATGGTAAAAACCTTTTTTCAACTATAGATTTGGTTCGTGCATTTAACTAAATCCCGGTTGCACCAGAAGACATTTCTAAAACGGCCATTGTAACGCCTTTTGGACTATTTGAGTTTCCTTATATGACCTTTGGTCTAAGAAACGCCGCTCAAACGTTTCAAAGGTTCATTGATGAAGTGACCCGAGATCTTCCATTCTTATTCGTATATATCGACGATATCTTGATAGCTTCAGC